GCACTTGCCAGAAAGAGAGAGACAGAGACAGAAAGCAAGAAATCGCCTCCCCCAGGGGGGATAGTCACGCCACAGTCCCTTCTTCATTCTCTTCTTGGGATCTTGGGCATGCATGCATGCGTGCCTGGCGTGAGTGTAAGCCCGAGTCTGGGACTCGAACCGCTGTCGACTACATGGGAGTTCAGTGACAGCCATTACGCCAACTGCTGGTCCCATTAAGAAAGATATTTTGCTGTAAATTGCATGTGCTCATTGGAGAGACAGAGACTGAGAAACAGAAAGCTAGAAAACACCCCCCACCCCCACCCCAGGAAGGATGGTCACGCCATAATCTCTTCTCCTTCATTCTCCTCTCGGGATCTTGGGCATGCACGCACATGCGCTCAGGGTGAGTTTTAGGTTGACGGGTTTGGGACTTGAACTGAGGTCAACTACGTGAGAGTCTAGCGATGTAAGCTTTATGCTATCTGCTGGTCCTGCTTACTTTATTTTTGCCAAAGGGCACTCGCACTCACTGAAGATATAGGGTTGGGTCAGAAATCATTCCTATCAGGAAAGGTCCCACCACAATCCCTTCTCCATTTCTCCCTCCTTTTGGGATTTTAGACATGCATGTACTCAAACTTAAAGCTGGTGTCTTTCTCAAGCTACCAGGTTCAGAACTTGAACCATGGTGTTGGCTATGTGGGATCCAGCTGCCTTAACAACCAGGCCCTATATCTGACTCAGCAAAATTACTGAGTATACATCGTATAAATGTACCACACTATCTTTATCGGTTCACCCACTGAGGGACTCTTGGGTTGTTTCTAGATTTTGTCCATTATGAGTTGATTTGCTCTTTTGAGAAAATAAGTTTTCATTCCTTTAGGTTAAATACCTTAGAGTAGCTGATTCATGTGTAAGTCTATATTTACCCTTAAAAGAAACTGCCTAACTGTTTTCTGTAGTTACCGTACTGTTTTCCATTTCTACTAATTATGTTTGAGCACTCCAGTTTATATCATCAGCAGCACTTGGTATAGTCAGTCTTTATCATTTTAATCTAACAGTTGCATGGTGGTAAATCCTTGTAGTTTTTATTTTTATGTACAATTTAACTTTATCATTGTTGTTACTATTTTAAATTTGCTATAGGGCATGTGCACTCACCAAAGAGCGAGAGAGAGAGAAAGAGAGAGAGGAAAGTGAGAAAGCAAACCACCAGGTCCAGGACTTGAACCGTGGTCATTCCTGTGAGAGTCTAATGCCCACGTGAGAGTCTAATGCCCACCATGCCACCTGATGGTCCCTATTCTTGTAGTTTGAATTTGTATTTCGTTAATGTCTAATTATCTTGAGCGTCTTTTCATGGGATTATCTGCCATGCCTATCATGGTGAATTATTTGTTCAAATCTCTTACTAATTTTTTAAAAATTGGGTTGTTTTTCAGCCTTTTTTTTTTTTTTTTTTTAAATTTTAGGTTTCGGCCATTAGGGCATATGTGCTGCTCGCCAGAGAGAAAGAGTGAATGAATGAGAAATCATCTCCCGGGGGGATGGCTGCCACTACAGTCCCTTCTTAGAATTTTGGGCACACAGGCACCTTGAGTGATTTGTCAAGTTGCCAGGTCTAGGACTTAAACTGCAATCAGCCGTGTGGGAGTCTACCACCTTAACCACCACGCCACCTGCTGGCCCTGCCTTTTCTCATTCTGGCTCATTCCCGTAGGAGGATAGTGTTCAGTACGTGAAATGTTTACAGTCACGCAAGACTACACATTTCATTTATAAATTTGTACTTTATTGTGTATCCATAGTAGTGCACAATTTCAGAATAAGTAAAGATTTACTCCATATTTATATTACTGTGTTATAGTGTGCCTTGTTTTCTGGCACTTACCTAACATGTGGCCTCTATATAGATAGTATTATGTTATTCTAGTGTGGTATCATATCTATTGAAAAATATGTACCCTGTCGCACACCACAAGATACCTGCCTTTGAGCTTGCTTAACAACATAGCTGTAGAAACGAAACTTGGTGCTTAGGAGAAGAGGGACTGTATAATTATTTTTATATATTGCTGAAGTCTGTTTATGACATTTTGTTAGGTTATACATCTGTATTTGTCAAGGATATATTGGCATGTAGTTTTATTATGTCTTTGTCTGGTTTTGGTGTAGTGTAATATTGACTTCATTGAATGAATTGTTCCCCTCTGTTTTCTAGAAAGATTGTGTAGAATTAGTGTCATTTATTCTTTAAATGTTGCACAGACTTGTTCAGTGAAGCTTTCTGGGTCTGATGAGTTCCTTTAGTGTGTATGTGTTTTTCTTTTCTTTTCTTTCCTTTTCTTTAATTTTTAAATTGCAAATTTAATTTCCTTAGTTGAGGACTATTTAGATTGGTGATGTATATTGGAAACTTTTTGATCATTACTTACTGAGGTGTATTCTTTGTAACACTCTCTTCTGGAGCTCCAATTACAAATATACCCTACCTTTTCCTCGTCCCATGTGTATTTGAACCTTATGCATTTTTTATTTTGTTTCATAATTTTTTTTTCCTTTCTGTTCCTCTGTGAGGATCATTTCTATGACTCTTAAGTTTGTGGACTCATTCACATTAAGTATTTTCTTAAGCCTTCTGAATGAATTTTTAAATTTCAGATATTCTAATTTCTGTTGTGAAACTTTTTGAAAAATATTTATTTAATTTTTGAATTATTATTATCTTTTAATTTGACCTGAGAGATAGTGAGAGGGAAAGTGAGAAAGCAAGCCACCAGGTCTGGGACTTGAACTATGGTTGGCCATGTGGGAATCTAGCACCTTAACCATCATGCCACTGCCAGCTCACTGTTGTGAAAGTTTGTTTCTATTCTGCCAAAATTCTCTTTTTGTTTATTGCTCATATACTTTTTTAAAAAAACATTCTTGGTACAACTAGAACATCACCTTTGTTATTACTTGCTCGTTTCGGCTTCTCTGTCATCTCTGGGTTAGTTGCCATTGGTAGTCTTTTTAGAATTAGCCTCATGAGGCTAGCTAGTGGTATGGTGATGAGGCAGCTAGAGCCCACATGGCTGACTATGTGGTTTGGGTCTCAGACCCATTGGCTTGAAAAACACGCTAAGCACAGGTACTTGCTTGCCCAAAATCCTGAGAGGAGAATGGAGAAAGGATTGTAGTCTGGCCTTCACCTTGGGGGAAGGCATGCCACTTTGTATCCAGCAAGCACCTGTGCTCTATAGCAAACTGAAAGAGGGGAAGAAAAGAAAGGGAAAGCAAGCAAGCCACATGTTCCTGGCTTTGGGGTTTTCTTTTCTTTTCTTTCTCTCTCTCTCTCTTTTTTTTTTTTTAAATAATGCCTTCCCCCCCTCCCCCAGAGATATTTTGCTATAGGATGTGTGCACTCATCAGAGACACAAACAGCGAGAAATCATCCCCCAGGGATGGCCACACTACAATCCCTTCTCCACTCTCCTCTTTGGAATCTTGGGCATGCACACACATGTGTCTGGCTTGAATTTTAAACCTCCGGGTCCAGGACTCGAACTGCAGTTGACTATGTGGGAGTCCAGCAATGTAACCACTATGCCATCCGCTGGTCCCAGTAATACTGATTTTCATTCTTGACCTTTTGCAAGTTGTGGGGACTCTAGCTTCTGAAGAGCACTGAAGTTTTTGTCTCAACAGCAGTCAGCATGGTTATTCACACTCTGCCCTGTCTGCAGTGGGAACGAGTGAGCCACTTCCCCACCTTGTAGTATCAGTTTGAAGTGGGGAGGAGTGGACATGTACAGTTTTGCGTTTTCTTTCCCTGCCTCTGTTTCTCTCACTGACAACCCCTTCTCATTCCCCCATAGCTGACTGCCCGGTTCCTTCTGAACCTGGTCACACTGGCCTGCCTGAGAGTAGAACCTCAGAGACGCAAACTCCCTTGTCTGGTCTCTTCCATGTCTTGAGTCCCCTGTACCATTCCCTGAGTACAGGCAGGTGGGATATGACCTCAGTCAGGTTTATGAAGATTGTTCTGAGGAGCGTCCATCCCCACCCAACCTGAAGCTCCAGCCTGATTTGAATCCCCTTCTAAACCTGCTTGCTTCTGGCTCTGCTAGTCCCCTACTGTTGTTGACTCTCCAAATGCCGTCCAGGACCATGTTGGCTACAGGAGAGCATTCCTGTGGTCAAACTCCACTTCTTGGTCAAGTGAACCTGCTGCCCCACCTTGGAGGGGGACAGATGGTACTTGACCCAGTCACTCTGTGCCATCCTGTATTGGATACCAGAGCAAGAGGCTGCCATGACTTGGCCTAGTGTGTGTTCTTGGCTGCAGTGTCTGCCTTCTCCTGGCCCCTGACCTGCCTTTGCCTCATCTTCACTCTGCCTCTATCTCACCACATCTCAGGCTGAGTTAGATTTTAGTTCCTTATACTTGAGATCCACCTTATGTGCTTGGGCTGGTATTTCAGATACAATATTTATATTGTACCTGTGCCTGCTTTGTGGTGCACACTCTCTTATTTCAGTGTGTTTAGAGCACTTAGTGACTAAGCAAAAGTTGCACATAATCAGAATTATTCTTAAGAATTCCTTCATGTGCTTCTATGGTAGAGACATCAGTCTACAGTAGCTGAGGCAGTAATAGAAATAGCCATGTCACCATGTGTGTGCTGTTGTGTGTGGTAGAAGGGACAATGTGCCCGTGGTTTGTTCATTTCTTCATTAATGCAGTTTCTTTAGCCAGTTTTCTCACTTTTATTTTGGTATTTGAATAATACCTAAAATCTAAATGTTCCTTTCAGGAAAACCAAACAAATTCAAATAATATTTAATATTTAAATATTAGCAGAATAGAGCCACCTTCATGGTGTACGATTAATGAGTGCTGCTTTAAAAATTCACCAGGACATGGTTCTAATCTCAGGTACAGTCAGCCTAGAACATAGTGGCCTTGCATGCAAGTGCCCTGCATCTGTTGGGCTGGAGGAAGAAAACTGCTGTGTGATAGACCCTATGGAGGGCATTCCTCTCTTCCTCTCTTTCTCCCCAACTTCACATGCATGTGCTCTATCATAAATAAATACAAAATTTAAAAAGAAATACTGAGGGAGAAAGATGTATTCTGCAGAGCTTCCTCCAGAGGGAATGGCAGCATACAGGGTAGGGATGTAGTGGCATTTGGAGGCATGGCCATGCTGCCCATCGGAATTGGACAGGCAGGCAGGGCATTTGGGGCTACCCAGTGTTGTGAGTGTTCCTGTGCTCCCCCAAGTCTGTAGGGGTAGGTCCAGGTGAAGGAAATTCTAGACATTTAATTTGCTTCTGTAATGTGCTTTCTTTTCAGGTTGTGTATAGTAGGAGTTCTGAAATTGAAGAATTAAAAGCCATTATTGAAAATTTGCAAGAGAACCAAGAACGGTTACAGAAGGATAGACTAGAAGAGGTTGAACGGCTCCATGAAGTCATCGAGAAACTACAGACCGAGCTTTCCCTCTCGGGGTCTCCTGCATGTGAGGCCAGGGAGGGCCAGGCGGAAAGTCTCCAGAGGGAGCTGCTCTGCTCGCAGGTGTCGGCCTCAGGTGGGCAGGCACTGCAGGGAGAACTTGAGGCTGCACTAGCTACCCAGGAGACCCTGAGACAGCTGCTGGCCAACCAAGAACATGGGCACCGCCAGGCCTTGGAAGCCCTGCAGCAGCGCTTGCGGGGTGCAGAGGAGGCTGCTGCAAGGCAGCTGGCCGAGATGGGCCAAGGCATGGCTCTCAGGGAGGCTGAGGTCCAGGGCCTAGCCTCCCGCATCCAGCAGTTTGAAGCTGCCCTGAAGGCAAAGGAAGCAATGATTGCAGAGAGAGACTTAGAGATTGATGCTGTGAACAAACGCAAGGCAGCCCACTGCACCGAGCTGCAGACTATCTTGTCGGCTTCAGCCAGTCTCCGCCATGCCTTGGAGCAGATGCCCCTGGCTGGCCCACCTGAGCCCCCTGAGCTGCAGCGGCTCCGAGCACAGTGTGCACGCCTCAGTCGTCAGCTACTGGCATTAAACCAGCACTTCCTGAGATGCCATACAGAGCCAGACCAGCAGCAGGCCTATGGAGACACAGCAATCATACCTGATGAGTTCTCAGGGCAGGGTGCCAGTAGCAGGCAGCTGACCTCAGCCCCCCATGGCCAGGACCACAATCCACGGGTAGGCTTTGCACCCCCTACAGGCTGTGGGAACAGGGCATGACTTCTGAGCTAGGGAGCCAGGGATGTTAGAGGGAACTAGGGGTACTGTGTGGGCCGCAGGGTCTGTGGGGAGTCAGTTGGGCTGGGCCAGGGAGTGTTGGATGTTCAGTGAAGGAGACTGGGTTTTTCCTTACTCTCCTTCTCTTCTCTCCTGATGTTAACATCTTCTTTCTGTTCTGGGCAGTGGGGGTGGAGCTACTACTAGGGCTCGTGACACAGTGGAGAAAATCCACACCAGCTGGGTACGATTGAAGTTTGCACATAGAGAAATCAGGCTGGGATTTCATTATTTCGTCCATTATATTTTCATTTGTTTACTTATTTTTGTTTTCAATTTTGATTATTTGCTGTAGGGCATGTGTACTTGCTGGACAAAGAGAGAGAAAGGGAAAGTGAGAAATTACCCCCAGGGGAAAGCCATGCTGCGGTCCCTTCTCTGTACTTCCCTTGGGATTTTGGGCATACATGCGCACATGCCTGCCGTAATTCTCAAGTTGCTGGGTTTAGAACTCAAACTGGGTAGTTGGCCATGTGAGATTCAGCACCCTAATCTTCACGCTACTTGCTGGCCCAGTTTTGTCCAATTTGAAATTTCTTATTGCTGCAAGTTACTTAAGTTTGCTTGAACGACTCTTCCTTTAATATACTGGGTACCATCCAACAATGTGGACATCACTTGTGTTAGTCTTCCTCAATTTCTCTCTGGCTCTTATGTTCTATTTTAACAATGACTTCCATCATAAAATGTTTTAAGCTTATTTCATTTTGTATTGGAGCCTACATGAATCATCTTTTTAACATTCCAGCATGCCCCAGAGCTCTGGGTAGTCTACAAGGCACCCCCAGTGAGGCTTCCTAAACTTGAAGTTTCTAGCACCTTTAGCTTTAACTTCATCAGCGTCATTATATTTTCTCTGTAAAGGAGGACTTGCAACCAGCCAAAGTCCTGGTCATGCTAAAGGACACAGGTCTCCATAAGCAAGAGAGCATGATGTCGGTGCTTGCTGTCTGCCAGAGGCACCTGCAGTCAGAACTGCTGTTGGTGAAAAACGAAATGCGCTCGAGTATGGAAGACAGTGGCAAAACATCAGGAAGAGCGAAGGTACTGGGGCACATTATGAGAGGGGCTATGTGCAGAAACACAGGCAGAGCTGAAAACACTTTGACTGAGATGAGACACCCAGGCTGCCAGCTGCCCATGCCATGTTCTTGAGTCCATCTGTCTATGGGAACAATGCCTCCTGTACCCTCTCTGGTATCTCCTGCATGCTTTACTAAGTAGCACTCCCTAGAATCACTCCTGCAATCCACGTGGCTTATGGAAAATAGCAGTTAATTTTTCTTTACAGTTGATTCAAATGGATTTAACTAAGCTCCAGGGCTTGTCTCTAGGTTATTTTCATATTTTACTTTGAAAGAGTTGAATTTTTCTTTTTACACCAGGAGTACATACACATCAGAGAGAGCGAGCGAGTGAGCAAGCACTCCCTACAGAGCCTAGTCATGTCACCTTTGTCCTCCAGTTTTACTTCCTATCAAGATCCTGACTTACATGTGCATGCAACTGGCATGAGGCTGACGGGGCCAGGACTCTTGAACTCTAGTTGGCCAGTTCTAGTTGGCCAGTTGGCCATGTGTGAACCAGCTTCTGTGCAGCGTGTAACTACTGTGCTATGGGACTGGCCAGGATTCATTTTTTGAATTTAGGGAGGAAAGGGGAAAGGAAAGAGACACAGAATGGCAGCATCCCCAATAGTATCCTGATGTTGCTATCCACTCCCAGCCTCAGCCAGCCCCTTATCATGAGCACATGTGAGCCTGGCATATTCAATAAACTCTGAACCTTTCCACGTAGGCTAGCCTCACAGACGTTTTTTTATTATTGCACTACTGACAGCCCCCAGGAAAGGGAACTTTTTCTTCCCCTGAGAGAGGAGGTTGTACCTAGGCAACCCCAAACTGAGGTCAGGATGTAATGCAAAGGGCAGGTCCTGGTACTTCTCATACCCCTCATGTACCAAGGGCAGGTCCCCAGTGACCTTCCTTGAAAACGTATGCCCGGGGTGTCAGAGCTACTCTGTCCTTGGAGCAACAGGCATCTCAGGATAACATTGTTCTGTTCATGCAAGTTCTCTTGATCGATGTGAACTCCCTACAGCCCTTCTCGTGCACGGCTCTGCACATCGTCCCCATTCTGTTATAGAACAGGCCCCCACCCCTCATCCAAGGTCTGATTCTTGAAAGGTGCTTATAACTAAGTGGGGCCTGCTACAGTTCTGTGTACTGCTAAGGCACTATACCCCACAGGCTGGGATCATGTAGAGGCCCAGCTTCAGTGCCTGGTCCAGCCTAAAGGCTGGATGCCGTGGTGTGTACATATAATCACAGTGATTTGGGAGGCTGAGGCAGGACTGCAACACAGCAAGACCATATCTTTAAAAAAAAAAAAAAAAAAGTAGTTGGTCTTTAGTTTTCCCAGGTATGGTGCCAAAGTGTGTTGAGCACTGAAACCTGCTCAGACCCAGACTCCTAAGCTTGTAGCCTCACTGCTGAAGCAGGTCCTGAGTGTAGGCACAGGGTACTGTCCACATTCATTAGAACCTAGAAGCTTCTGAGCCCATAGCATACTAGCCCAGAGCTCATAGCTACACAGGTGCCTGGTTCTGTGATTTTGAGAGAAAGTGCCTAAGACTAGTGTCATGTGTTTATTAAGAACCCTGGGGCAGGGAGTGGGAGCAGCATGCGGCATTAAGGCATTATACTCCAACATGGCTGACTGTAGTTCAAGTCCCTGACCTGGTGGCTTGCTTTCTCACTTTCCCTCTTATTCTGTCTCTCTCTGGTCAAAAATTTTTTTTAAAAAGTGAATAAAGTGAGATATTCTTTAAAAAAAAAAAAAAAGAAAGAAAGAGCTCTTAGGAAAAAGGCTTTGCGTATGGAGGGATCTGTCACCATATGCTCAACCTTATCATGGTGCCCTCACATCAGGAATGTGTGAATACTTAAGAAAGCTCAGCCTGCCACATCAAGAGCTGGTTACACTTTCTTGGACATTACTCACTGACAATGTAACTCCAAGTTCATTACGTGAACCACAGTTTTGTATTTTTCAAGGTTCAGAGATAGAACAATTTTCCTCACCAAAACAAAATGCATACATCCTCAGTAAATTACCGCAGAAACAGGTTCTGATAGTTTTTTTTTTTTTAGTTATTTGTCTTAAGGGTACATGTGTTCATGCTCATTGGAGAGGAGAGACGGAGGAAAGTAAGAAATCACTCCTGGAGGGGGATGGCCATGCCTCAATCCCTTCTCCTCTTGGGATCTATGGGAACACATGCACACATCCCTGGTATGATTTTTAAGCCGCCAGGTCCAGGCCTCAAACCACAGTAGGCTACATGGGAGTCCAGTGTCTTAGCCACCACACCATCAGCTGGCCTCAATAGTTGCTTTTTAAGTAAAGAACTTTAAGCCTTTATTCTGTTTTTGAAGGAATTAAAAACTATGAATTCTTTTTTTTTTTTTTTTTAATAATTTTTTGGCTATTGGCCTTTTTCTTTTTTAAAACTTTGTTAGAGTGCATTTGTGCTCACAAGAGGGAGAGGGAGAATCCTTTTTCCTCCATTTCTTCATTCCATTCGGATTCTGGGCATGCTCACACACATGGCAGTTGCATCTCCCAAGCCACCCAGTCTATTACTCGAACCACAGGCCAGCCGTATAGGATGCAGCTGATCTATCCACCAAACAATGGAGCGCTCTCATGCTCCCTCCCTCTCTCTCTTTTTTTAAAGTTTATTTATGTGTTTCTCCCATGAGAGAGAAAGATAGGCAACCCCTACAGTGATTTTGTGGCTCAGTATACCCCTAGCCTCAGCCAGCCTGGATCACTGGCACCTGGTGTGTAGAGGGAGGCCCTGAGATAGAACCTGGACCCTCCCTTGTTGGTCCAGCATCACAGGGCATTGCATAACCACGGCCCTAGAACTTGAAATTTTTGCTGCCTAGATGTACTCTCACCCCTGAGTGCTTAGTCTCTGAAGTTGGCTCCCAAACACATGTTTTTCAGACCTTTGATTCAGCTGTTTTACTCTGTGCAATTCTTTTTACCTGCAGGGTAAACAGAAGGTGCAAGAAGATTGTCAACTGCAGAAAGTCAGTCTCATAGCTCAGGTGAAACAACTGCAAGAAAAATTGAACCGTCTGGTATATTCTATGACCAACCATGGTGCCGACACTGAAGACTTTCAATTCCAACAGCCATTGTCATCGGCATATGTGCTAGAAAATAATTCAAATGATAGTTCCTGTAACAATCAGGAATCTGACACGTCACCCCTTGTTGATGCATTTGATACCAGTAAAACTACACGGGGTGTAATTGATGTTAAAAGTCGGGATTCTTTGACAAAAAATGAAGTGTTAAATTTTCCCATTCAAGAAAAATTAGAATTGCAGAATGGACTTGTTTCTTTTCAAACGAGTGACCCGAGTCACATTGAGGGGGCTGGGCTGCCACAGGACCCAATCAGGGCACTGGACCTGTCTTCCTGGAGCCCACCCGAGGTTCTCAGGAAGGACTCATCCCTCGAGCCCTGGCCCAGCTTCCCCCTGACACCCTGCTCGGGCACCATGAGCCTGCGTAGCTCTGATACCTCCGTACGGGACAAGATGGACGCCTCACTGCTGCCAGCCAATGAATCAGGGCTGCTTTGTTACCCGAGCGTATCTGTAGCAGAGCAGGCTCAACCATGGGCAGAGGCCCCATCATCTGGCCAGCAGCACCATGTGGACAGGACAGCAGTGGTAAGTGCCTGCCCACACCTGGCCCAGGTTCCCGTGAGGTGTCAGGCCAGTTCATTGTTGGCTCATCTGACAGCGCAGCTACCTCCACTCAGCAGGGCTGCTGTCCTGTGAGCTCACGGTGTATCAGTTACTTTCTAATCACACGAGGTGTGCTAGCCCTCCTCAGAAGGTTACCTTGGGCATGTGTCATAGAATTCTGAGCAGCAGTCGTAGCTGGCGTCTTGTGTAATCAGCATCAGTGCTCTTGATCTATAGTGTGTATTTGAGGATTATTCTCAGTAGTACTTCAGACCTCACATAAAATACTCCTTAATATTAAGACTGCTTCCATTTTTTAGTTAAATCTTATCTTTTCTAACAATATTTTGGGGATTTTGTATATATTAAGATAGAGTAAAAAATAATTTAGGGAATGTATGTTATCTAAGATATACATATGCTAAAATTTCATACATTATTTAAAAGTATCTGAAGTATTTGCTAGAGGCTACTTTAAAACATCTCCAAAGAGTTGTAGGTACATCTAATTAAATTACTGAAAGCAAATGTCCATAGTGTATTCACAGATTTGAGTGTTTGCATTTGGGTTTGTGGAAAGATGAAGTATTCAGGGCCTAGGGAATTTTCACCTGACAAGTCCAGTTCTGTGATGTGACAAATTACTATTGTGTGAAGACTTACAAGTCTCTCTATCTGAACAGGAGAACGATGTCGAAGATTTTATCATAACATCTTTTGATTCTCAAGAAACATCAAGATTGCCTGTTCTTGGGTTAGAAGGAAAAAGCCATGGAAGTAAGAACAGTAAGTCAATTATCTTTTTCTTAAAAAACTCTTATTTCAGCGGTTTTAGTAGTGCTGAGTTCCTCTCTTTCCTTTATCCCCACAACACGTGCAGGGCCACATGTGCTGCCCTATCTGTCCAGGCTGTGCTCTGAGTATAAGTTGCAGATCTGCTGCTGTGACACTTGGTGTGCATTTCAGTCTGTGTGAGGCACAGAGCTCAATACCAGGGAATCTGCTGACCTAAAGCTGGTGTCTTGCCTGTGACCCTAACTCAGATTTTGTTGATTTTCTCAATAGCATTTTTAATAGAAAAGATACCCTAGACATACATTGTGTTTGGATATCTTTGGCTGGGTAGAGACACAGATGGGCAAGTCAAGGGCACAAGGACAAGGCCTTTCACACTAGTGCCTCACCCAGCCATGCCAGCTCTCCTGTCCCCTTTGTTTGAATAGTCCCTCTGTCATTGGGTTTCAAACACTGACATTTGGGAAGAGCAGGGGTGGTTACTTTGTAGCAGGACCCTCAGCATATATGTGTCTGGCATGTTCTTGTGGTTGCGTGTGAGGATGCTGAGTTCTTTCTGGGGCTTCATGGCAAGAATAGCGTGGAGTCAGTGTTGGCCCCATGCTATGGAAGTATCTGCCAGGTTTTCTTCTTTTTCACTCCATGAGGGCTTGGGTCCAGTTGAATATTTATTTCTCACACTTCTCTCCAATGACAGTCCTTGCCTGTATCGGTTATCATGGCGATAGTTGACTGCCACACTGAAGTTGTCTAACTTCCTAATTTCTTCTGTAATTATTACCTTCATTTATTTGTTTGTTTGTTTGTTTATTTTTATTTATTTATTTATTTGCTATACGATGTGTGCATTCATCTGACAGAGACAGAGAGACAACTAGAGGGAAAGTGAGAAATCACTCCCTAGGAGATGGCCATGTTGCAGTCCCTTTTTCTCCGGTCTCCTCTTGGGATTTTGGGCCACACACACAAGCACGTACTATGTTTTTAAGCTGCCAGGTCCAGGAGTTGAACTGTGGAGTTGGCCATGTGGGATCCTACTCCATAAGCTCCGTGCCACCTGCTGGTTGGCCCAATTGTTGCCTTTATAAAAGTCGGTCACCGGTGTATCTTTTTCTTTTTTTTTTTTTTAATTGCCCAAGGGCACATATACTCACTAGAAAGAGATGGAGAGCGTGGGAAAGGGAGAAAGCATCCCCTGATGGGGCCATGGTCACACTACAATATCTTCTCAATTTCTCCATCCTGTTGGGATTTTGGGTATACACACCCCTGGCTTGTTTTTCAAGCCACTGGAGCCAGAATTCCAACTGCTCAGTCAACCATGTGGGATCCAACTCCCTTAACTAGTAGAATATTGGGCCACCCCGGTCAATCACCTTTTAAGGTATTTCGATATTTCAAAAAATTATCATTGGGTCTTTCAATAACTTTTGAGAGCAAGATCATAGTGAAATATAGTTCGCTAAAAATTTTTGCATTGCAGAATAGAGCCAACTACTTCTTGATTTATTACAAGTAGTAAATATTTTCCTTGTTTCATGAATTTTGCCCACTCTTATTTCTCTCTGGGTCTATTAATGATGATTATACAGAAGCATTCTTCTGTTTGCTTTTGTTTTTCCTATTGTGCTTTCTTGGTTTCACTGTGTCCATGTGTGTCTGAGCACTTAGATGCAAGTGTGCTTGCTCATCATGGAGGGCCATCCCTGGACTTCCACTGCCTGACACCTTGTTCCCCTGCCCTCCCAAGAGCTGCTGTCAGCCAGCTGGCTGCCCATGGGGAGAATCCCCTGGAAGACCCACCCTGCTTCCCCTGGTGCTTCCTCCTTAGCTGTGTCACTGACACCTTTGTCTCTCTTTTCCAGTGCATGTACCCCCAGATGTCTATGGGCTTCATGCCTTAGAAATGCCTCTGGGACCATACACTTCTGGGCAGCTTTAAGACCCAGAAGATAGGCAGGTTTCTGGGATTTTTTCTTTACCCCACCCTCACACTCACCCAAAATCAGGGCTATTGGCCTTTTCCTAACCAGACACTGGCTTCTCCTGCCCAGTCTTGAAGTTGACACCCTCCTGACTGGTCTGCCCACTTTTCACCATGAGTGGACAGGCTGGTAAGCAGGTAGGTTAAGGCAGCCATGGGGTTTATGTTTAAAGCACAGTGTTAATATGGTCAACTACAAAACATGGTTTTTCTTACTTGATGTGTGAAGTTTACATTTTAATTCACTTTTACGACAGTATTATTTTATCTTTGACTGTTGGTCTATCCATGTTTTCTTCAACAAAAGGAGCACTGGGTGTGATGGGTCTGTCTATCCCAGCCCTACGTCTTCAGGGGATGCATCAGACCTGTGATTTTAGACCTGCCCTTATACTATTTTAGGTGACAGCTCAGGCTCTGGAGTAGTACTGAGCCTGGGGTCTGGAGAGCTCAAGGCTTCTGCTGCTGGTCCTGCAGCTCCTGCTCCAGGCTTTGGAAGTTTGCGACAGTCGCTGGGCACAATGAAGGAGAAGGACATCAGCCCACAGCATATGCAGGTAACAACTGTGGGGAGCAGAGCAGTCCTGATATACCCTCATCCCTTAGGCACCTGCAGCTCCTCCCAGAGCATGAGACTTAAAGGCTGTAGCTCCATTGGATACCCCATACAAGCGTGTGTCTGGAAGAGGAGGTGCTGCTGCCGGGTGTAAGGCTACAAGAACCTCTGGGCTCCATAGGTCCAGGATAGGCCAGCTCTGCTGTGGTACCCAGAGGTCTGCCTGTCCTCATTGAACAATAGAAGCAGAAATAGCTTCACCTTCCTGTACTTAGGTGTCAAGATGTATGACCTTCTGTTGGGAAAGTGATTGCATTTGTTTTCTTGCTTGACTTTGGAGAATGACTAGAGGGCTGGGTGCTGGTGGCCAGCTGCCCTATGCCTGTGTGTGAGCTGTGGCAGACAGCCACATGCCCTTGTCAGGTGTCCTAAGTGTGGGCTCCTGACTCAGAAGACATGAGGACGGGTGTGTGGGTTCTGGGCTGTGGGTCAGCTCTGCTTAGAGAAGCACAGAGTTTCATCCCTTCCAGATGATGTTACTGGCTATATTTGTGTTCTCACTCCTGTGTTTCTCACTCTTGTGTTTCTCCTGGAGTTGGGACTTGAGATGTCTGATTCAGCTTGGGCAGTGGCAAGGGTATTTCAATGGACAGTCTTGCCCTGACTCACTGACCGGGAATGCTTGTATCACACACATGGCAGGTGTTGGGGTGGGCCACCACCAGGCTCAGCCATGGTCCCTGGGTCCAGGAATGCTGCAGCAGTTCCTGGATCTGATGGAGAAGGAGAATACTCTAAGCCTTTATCCCTTCCCACAGTGAAAAGACTTTCCTCCTTGCCAGCCATAAGTGGTCATGTGCCCACTCCAGGCTGCCCAGCCTGGGCCCCTATAGTGGGTTGGGCCCATTCTGACCCACTGCTGATGGGGCATGACTGTACAGAAGGCCACCCAAGCAGCTCTGTGCTGGGTCCCACAGATGTCAGGGCTGCGAGCCTGTTGGCAGCATTCTTTCCATGTTCCAGAGCTGAGCCTGTGTCTCCTGAAGCCATAGCTTCTTTTTTTTCCCTTGTTTTTTTTTTTTTTTTTTTAACACTCATTTACTATACATCATATAGCATACAAAATGAGATATTTTTTTTCCAGAGAGCTTTTTGCTATAGGGCGCGCGTGCTTGTCAGAAAGACAGAGAGACAGAAAGCGAAAAATCACCCCCCAGGGGGGATGGTCCCGTCGCAATCCCTTCTCCATTCTCCTCTCGCGATCTTGGGCACGCATGCACACACGCCCAGCGTCAGTTTAAGCCACCAGGTCGACTACATGGGAGTTCAGCGACATAGCCATTATGCTAACTGTTGGTCTCCAAAATGAGATTTTTCATCTAGAATATCAACGTACATGTTACTGTCAACAAATAATTTTCCATTTCTTGTTTCCTGTATATTTTGCTTTTTTTCCTCATCCTTGATTCCCTATCTCTCACCCTCTGCCATCTCCCACCTTCCTCCCACACTGTCTCTGGTATCCATGGTTGCTTTCTATGCCTCCCCCCTCCCCATTTTATTGATTCACTAAAGATCTTAATTAATCTAAATATTTTCAATAGCAAGCACAGCTGATACATACATATCCATGAACGCAAGTCTGACTTTAGAGCCATAGCCTCTTCACAGGTGAGGGAAGGGTCACATCCAGCACCCCAGGAGTTGACATCAAAGGCAGAATTTTATGGAACTTTTCATAGGATTTTTTTCTCTCTCAACTTAGCAGATCACTTCATGTCAAAACCGTTGACATAAATGTGGCTAAGTAATAAATGATATAGTGCCATTGTCTGTCTTATTTGAGTAATGAAAACATTCCCAAACAAAACAATTTTGATGTTAGTCAAGTCTCTGACATCGGGGCCAACATGTGGGCTTCCACATGACCAACTGTGGTTTGAGTCCCAGACCTAATGGCTTGAAAATCACGTCAGGCTCATGTGCGCTCATTCCCCAAATCCTGAGAGAATGAAGGAGAAGGGATTTGTGGCGTGGCCATCCCCTCTGTGGGGTGATTTCTCACTTTCCCTGTCCCTCTTTCTCTGTCTGTCTCCAGTGAGGGCATGCACCCTATGGCTAAACCCCCCCCCCAAAACAAAAAAAAACTCTGAAATTATATTCAGAGTAAAACTCTTTTACTCTTTTAAGAATGGAAAATGGAATGATTTATTTTTTAAACTTTATTTCTCTCTTTGCATTTTCCTAACTAAAAACATTTTTTTTTCATGGTAGAGCATATACATGTGCATGAGAAGAAAGGAAGGAGACCCTTCCACGGTCTGATCACACTGTGATCCATTCCTCCAGCCTGTGGGATCCTGGGTGCTCATGCACATGCCTGGCATGTTTCAGGCCAATTTGATGAGGTATTTGAACTATGGACTATGGTTGCTGCAGAGGCTGGTCCCTGATGATGTAAAACATTGAAGAGATATTTCTGTTAGTGTTTCCTGTCCAAGCATCCTAATACTAGGAGGATTTATACATAATATGTATAAATACATGCCTCTTAATTGCTAGAGGGCACACGTGCTCACCAGAGAGAGACAGGGAGAGAGAAATTACCCCTCAGTAGAGCGTGGTCATGCCGCATACCTTCTCCTCTCTCCATCCTGTCTGGATTTTGGATATACATGCATATGCACCCAGTATGTTTTTTAAGCCACTGGGGCCAGGATTCAAACCATAGTTGGTCATGTAGGATCCAGCTCCCTTAACCACTAAGTCACAGAGCTGGCTTAGGATTTTTTTGTTTGTTTGTTTTTAAGGAATAAATTTTGTTGTTAATGACAATTCTTTATACATATGCTTAGTAGATTAAAATGAACAACAACAAAAAACTAGTGAAGATGGCCCTGGAGGCCTTTGAGAAAGCATCTGAGAGACCATCAGTGAATGGAGGGAGGGAGAGCCACTTCCAGGCTCTGGTGAGACCTGAGTTTAGGTGAAAATCACAGTGAAGTGTGTTTTTTATAGACTTCTTACACTGCTTCAAAGTCAGTGATTTCCTTTGTTGTCTTAAGTTTCCCGACTAGGCTCTGAGTCATGGGGTACCCTGGACTATGCCTTGGTGCTTCGTGGGCTCACAGACAGAATAGCTGTTGTTCCCACCTGACAGCTGGCTCTATGCTGTTGTTCTCAAAGGAACTAAGGAATGTATGGCACATACATCTCAGGAGTACATAGGGTCACCTTTCTGGTAACCCATATTTAAGGAGCTGGTGGAAAGCCAGGAGGGGCAGGCACAAATAAGAGTCAGTCCAGGGGCCATGCCTAGGGTTAAGCCCACAAGTGGGGTGAGCATTGCTGAGGTTTGGTCATCTAGGAAGTGCCATCACCTGCCAAAGCCAAGGAAAGCCCTGGACAGATGAGGAAAGCTGAGAGCCAGGTAAACGCATGCCCAACAATGATAGCTATGTGTATAGGCTGCGCTTGTGGACCAACATGGTTGTGAGAGCTGAGGTTTCACAACTGTTGAGATTGTGTCTGTTTGACCCTCAGAATAAGGAAGGGCTGTTCTGTAGGTTCATGTTCTGTGATCCGAGGTACCTGTTCTTTCTGCCTCACTTCCTGGCATGGGACCCTTTCCACGGGGCTTCTTCACAGAAAACCCAGCTCTGCAAAGATAAGACATCCTCTGGTGCAGAAGCTGTGGGTAGTGGACCTTGTACATTACGAGTATTCTTTCTGAGACATTCTTTTGTTTTTTTTTTTTGGAGAGATTTTCACTGTAGGGCGCGTGCGCTCGCCAGACAGACAGAGAGAGACATAGAGACAGAAAGTAAGAAATCACCCCCAGGGGGGATGGTCACGCCGCAATCCCTTCTCCTCCATTCTCCTCTCGGGATCTTGGGCACGCACGCACACGCGCCCGGCATGAGTTTTAAGCCACTGGGTCCGGGACACGAACCGCGGTCGACTACGTGGGAGTCCAGCGACATAGCCATTACGCTAACTGCTGGTTCCCTGAGACATTCTTTAAAATGCATTTTCTCCTTATAAAACCAAGAAAAGCATATAAGGAATACCGAGGACTGGCTCTGTGGTACAGAAATAACACACTACTCAGAAGACATTTCCCACATGGCACCTAGGATTCAAATTCCTGGCTCAGTCAGCCTGAGGAACACTGGACATGCGCACAGGTGCCCAAGATCCGTTCAGCCAGAGCATGGGAGGAAGGGGATTGCAGTGGGCCTAGACCCTGTAGAGGATACTTTTATCTCTCGTGGACACACATGCACTCTATTTGAATACAAAAAAAAACACTAAAAAAAAAAACCAAATAAAGTAAAAATAAAGTTTAAGGGACCAGCAGGTGGTGTGGTGGTTAAGGCACTGGACTCCCATATGGCCAACTGTGGTTTGAGCCCTGGGCTCAGAGGCTTGAAAATCACACTGGGTATGTGTGCATGCGTGCCCAAAATCCCAAGAGGAGAATGGAGGAGAAGAGATTGCAGTGTGGATCATTCTTTGCATGGCTCACACAAAATGTTCTTTCAAGTCTGATTGCCATGGTGTCTCTGAAGGTCACTGGTAAGGAGTTTCTCATTAGAAACCTCGTGATTGGAACAGCAGATTCTGCCGCTTGGCATGAAGCCCTCAGAAAGTGCCTCGCAACTTTCTGTCTTCAGAGCATTTGGCCTGTGTGGTGCCACCATGCTCATGGGGTGGTGAAGTCATGACACACAGACACAAGGCTTCCCTCAGCTTTTCTCTCTCTTATGTATCTTTTTCACCACAGTCTTTGCTACAGATGGTATGTGATGAAAGTCACCAGATCCTGGCCTTGTCAGAACACCACAGGCTTCCCAGTGCTCTCAGCAAGGGTGAGCCCTGTATCCCCCAAGACCAGTTTCCGGAGGAGGGACAGGGCCTACTGGAGGCAGTGCCTTCAAAAGGAGAGAAGGTATGGGACTACTTGGCCCATAGTGGGAAAATGTGGTTTTGTTTTTAAGCTCACGTACTTCTTTTCCAAAGATTTAAAGGACTTTATAGTGACTGTTGAGTCACTTGGGCTATAAGGGCCATAACAAACAAGTGGAGGATTTATTGTCATTTATTATTTACTTTTCCCTTCTTTTTAAGGTTTTGTTTTGTTTGTTTTGTTTTTGCCATAGAGCATGTGTGTTTGCTAGAGACAGACAGAGAGGGAAAGTGAGAAATCAACCCTTAGGGGATGATGGCTATACAGTCCCTTCTCCATTCTTCTCTTGGGACTTTGGGCACTCATGTATATGCACCTGGCATGTTTTTCAGGCCACCACGTACAGTACTTGAACTGTAAAGTCAACATTGTGGGATCTAGCACCTTAACACACCATGCCACCTGCTGGTCATATTATATACTTCTTTAATGCAGCCAGAAAATAAGATATAGGATTTAATGAGGAAAAACACTGTAACGGTTAAGTTAAAAAGTAATATAAATTAAATTGAAGCTAGAGACCCTTGCAGGCCTCCTCCTCTGGGAGCTGGGGTGGGGGTTCTAGCAAGTCCTTGGTGTTGTGTGCTATGGGGTCAGCAGAAGGTGGTTTGAGGGCTCTCCAGCCCCTATTATGGAACGAGTGGGGTGAGCATAAGACCCTGGCTCACCTGGTCACATGGCTTTAAGAGCTCTCTGGGCTTCCAACGCAGCCTGTATCACAGCATGCAGCCTGTCTGCCCTCACAACCCCTGCCCTCTCTTAGGCTTTGTCTCTAAAATGACCCCCATCCTCCTGAGACTCCCACTCCAATTGCCCACCTCATTCTTGCACCGGATGTCTGCCCATGCCTCTGCCTAGGACTTGGGCCTTGCCTCCATGCTGCCTTCCTATCTTTCCCCATCTTCTTGTCTGTCTCCTCCCTGTTCACAGAGGTTTCCTGAATTCGTAGAATGGTTGCAAAGTCCCCCACAAGCTCCAAACCAGGCCTCTGTGACCTCCTGTTATACTTCATTACCACCTCCAATGTCCTTCCCTTCCTGCCCTTAGGCCTGCCCTTATCTCTGTTGGGATAAAACTTCCCTGAGGATAGGAAGGACTTCGTTGCATGGCTGAGGCATGTAGGCACCCCTCGACTTGCCCATGCTAAGCTCATACTGCTGCATCCTTGAGCAACCACAGTCTGGAGGCCAACGGGTGTCTGGAAGCCACTTAGCCTCAGGTCCTCTCCAGACCAGGGCCTCAAAGGGGTAGCAGAAGGGAATAGTAGAGAGGTGTTTTCCAGAACCCTGCTCTATCCTGACCCACCCTCATTTTTTTCAACCTCTCCTTTTCTTTGTGCATTTGTCCCTTACCCCAGGATAGTCATGGATACTTGTGTGTCTTCTCTCTCATGAGTGGTTTCTGGTTTAATTACCTCTCAGTCTGCTCAGCTACTGTAATAAGATGCCACAGACTGGATGCTTAAGCAACAGATTCTTAATTCTCACAGACTGGAGGCTGCAAGACCTGGGTTGGATGTGAGCTGTCTGGGCTCTGCTGAGGGATCACTGCATCCTGTGTCATGGGGCTCTACTCTCATGGTCTCATTTCATCCTCATCACTTCCCCACTGCTCACTCTGAGGTTGGGGCTTTAGCCTTGGGGGCCAAAAAGACAGATTTACACAACTCCTGCAGGAAGTACTGTGAGAATGCTGAGTTTCTGTTCCAATATCCAGGAACCCTCTGATATGTGCCTTGATTGGAGAGGAGAGTTTCTACGGGTCGTCCAGCAGGCATTTGAGAAAGAGCGGGAGATACTGAAAGTTGAACTGCAGCCTCGATTTTGTATCTCCGACCCAGGAGATCACAACTCCTTGTTTGAGAGGCTGGAGAAGGTTGTCCGGGAGCAGGTGAGCAACGACTCTGTGTCTGCCGTAATGTACCCCAGGAGCCTACTCTGACAGATGAGAGATGACAATCTGTTTTACATATATATTATGGTTCACGGTCCTTTGACCTTGGAAGGCAGGAGTGACTGACTTGGGAATCACACATTAGTTTTGCTTTTTTGTTTCGAATCCTAACAAGGATGGTTATGTGTTGTTTCTTACTTACATCCTCACTGTTCTGGAGCTAACCAGCAAAGGAATGATTGAAGGGGCTCCTTTCAGACAGTGAATACTCAGATCAAGAATCAGAGCATGTTGACACTGCCAGTGAGGGATTTGAACGTCCAGAGTAAGGGACTGTGCAGGCCCCAGCAAGTCAGCACAGCCTAGCTCCAGCACATGCCAGTCCTGAGAGCTACCGGGAGAAGGTACCTGGAGCAGAGGGCCCCCGAAGCCCCTGTGTAGACTCACACCGTGAGCAAGTTGCCCCAGCAGAGCTTGGAGCACAGGTGTGTGCAGCCTGCTGCACAGAAAGAAGGCTGGGGTGTGTGGGGCTCTGAGTCTCTCGAGCTGGGGTACCTGGCACTTACCACATCTTGTGCTCAGTCTGCTCTCCCTTCTCACCAGGAGGACCTGCAGGAGAAATCCTTGGAGCGCCTTCGCCTGTCTGACAGGAGCAGCTTGCTGGCTGAGATCCAGGCTCTGCGTGCCCAGCTACGCAGAACGCACCTGCAGAATCAGGAGAAGCTGCAGCAACTGTGTGCAGCACTGACCAGTGCAGAGGCCCGCGGGAGCCGGCAGGAGCACCAACTGCGCAGGCAGGGTGGGTGCCGCTGGCATGTTGGTGTGGCTTTATGCAGCCTACCCTGGTCCTGCCTACCTGACATCCTCCTGTATGGCAAGGCCTCTCGAAAACAGTAACATCTGGTCCCCATGTGTCGGTTAACAGAGATGAGTGAAATGACTGAGACAGGGCAGAAGGTTCCTAGGCGCTCACACCCAAATAAGGAGTCTACTTCTTTTCATTTAGGTCTTTGAGAATTTCTTTTTTCAGAGACAGGATCTGTCTTTGAAAAAGGCAAGCTGTGCCCCTGCCTCAGCCTCCAACTGGGACCACAGGCATGCCCCCACTATACCAAGTCTTTTTTAAGGCCAGGTCTCCCTATGTTGCCCAGGCTAATCTCAAGATTCTAATCCTCCTACCCCAGCCTTCTCAGGCACTGGGATCACAGGCACACGCCACAGTACCCTACCTTTACGCTGGACCAGGAATCAAATCTGGGCCTTTTGCATGGTCCTAGCCTGCAGGGCACAGCATCTTAGCAGTGTAAGCCACTATAGCTGGGCCTGTTAGGGACATTATATTTTTCTTCTCCCTTCTCTGCCCTTCTTGCATGTTGCACATCAGGCCCTTGGGCACATCTTCCTCCTTGCTCCTGATCTTTTCCCTTGATGTGGGGTCAGTTGGAATGTTCACAAATCCACTAGGTCAACACAAGGAAGCTTATTTGGATTGTGTTTGGTGGAACAGCCCAGTGTCCAGGTGCCACCCTGCCACTTCACATGCACTTTGGACTGATGTTGTGCCTTGATGTTTGCTACAGGGACTGTTCTGTAGTTTTCTTCCTTTTTTTTTTTTTTCCCTTTATTTTTTTATTTTATTTTTTATTTTTTGGAGAGGTTTTTGCTATAGGGTGCGTGCGCTTGCCAGACAGAGAGAGAAAGACAGAAAGCGAAAAGTCACCCCCTAGGGGGGATGGCCACACCACAATCCCTTCTCCTCCATTCTCCCCTCGGGATCTTGGGCATGCACACACACTCGGCATGAGTTTTAAGCCTGCAGGATCCAGGACGTGAATCACGATCAACTACATGGGAGTCTAGCGACATAGCCATTATGCTAACCGCTGGTCCCAATATGTATTAATTTTTAAAACAAATCTTATTGACTCCCTAATATGTGCTTATTTGTATTTGGTTCTGGAGGTAGCAGAAATAATAATATTCAGAGCTCACACTTAAAAAAATTAAAAAGAAAAAAATCCTAATATTTAGTTGTCAGAAAAGTCATAACATATTTTTGCATAGAAAAACAGGAAAAAAGAACTGTGGTCGACAACATGGGAGTCCAACGACATAGCCATTACGCTAACTGCTAGTCCTTCCCTAGTTTTCTTTCTTGTGTGCCTTTTCCTGGTTTTTGTGCTGGAGTCACTCTAGCCTCCTGGAAGCCTTGGAAACATCTCTGTTTTCCTGAGGAATTTATATGAACAGGGATTATTTATTCCTTAGGAACTGGGGGAAATTTCAGTGACATCCCAGGGCCTGGAGTCTTTTCTGTTGGAGGCATTCAGTGTGACAAGTAGGTGGGGTAGCCTCTCAAGATGCCAAAGAGATATGTCACCCCTGATATCTGTGTATTCTGAGCTGGGAGAGTGAGGCCTGGAAGGAACTGGGCTCTGACGATAGAGACCTGGGTGAGTAACAGGCCACATTCTGGGTGTCCAACAGAAATGCTTCTTCCATTCCATAGAAACATTATTTATCCCTGGGTGAATCCATTCCCACTCCTTCTGGCTTGTTTCTAAGCTAATGGCATTTGTACACCTTACTTTGGATTCATAACTAATGATGCTTCATGTTCTTAATCCTTCTCAGTTGAGTTACTGGCATATAAAGTTGAGCAGGAAAAATGTATAGCAAGCGATTTACAGAAAACCCTGAGCGAAGAACAAGAGAAAGCAAGTCATGTCCAGAAGCTCCTGGTGGTGGAGCAGAATACTGTGAAGGAGCTAAGGTCCGAGCTCTCTGAATGTAAGCAAGAGAATGAGAGGCTGCTACAATCCCTCAATGACGTGCAGAAGGAAGTCCTCCAACTGAGGTACAGCCTGTGGGGCACTCTGATGGTTACCTTCCTGCCCCTCTCAGTAGCATCACTTTAAACATCCTTGACCAGACCTAGAAGTCCCATTGTTGTTGCCACGTTTTCTTGGTATTGAGGTGAACAGATCTCAGGTGTACTACAGTGTGGCTGAGCATTCTACTAGCTGGGATATTGCTGGGGGCAGAGGGACGACATACACCTACATGGGGCAGGAAAGTGGTAGGCTCTGCCCTTCCTATCCTAGGAGCTCCCACCCCCAGGGCTGGTCTGTGTGTCCCTTCAGAGTGTCTATGACAGGAGGCACAGCCACCATTGTCCTCGCATAGATCCATGCTGGATAGCAAGGAGAACGACCTGAGTGCTGCGCTACAGGAGCTGGAGAGTGAGCGGGCAGAGCAGCGTACCCTGCGGAACCAGCTGGAGGAGGAACAGCGGCAACATCTGCAGAGGGAGGGCCAGAGTGCCAAGTCCCTGGAGGTAACTGCAGGGGTCGAGGCCTGTGTCCAGCAACCTTCCTCTTTCACACCTGCCTTCTTTGCTCTAATTGTGGCAGTATGCCCATTGACAATGTAATGACTTCCAGGATGGCTGCGACTGCTTGCCACCTGCTCAGTAATCATCCCTATCTCTGAACCTTATGTCAGAGAGGTGGACGCAGCCTCTGCTGGCCATCTTGGACAACTGAGAACCTCAGCACTCTGTCCACAAACCAAACAATTGGGACACATCTTATCGTAGTGTGGGGGAACACCAGCAGGTGTTCTGTAACTCAGAACAGGGTTACTGCCAGTTCTGTGGGTTGTGGCAAAGGTCTTTCAACAATCCCAGGAACTGGGATTCATAGCAGGGGGAAGTAGTGCCTACAAACAAGGCTGTTTATTTGCCTTTCTTCATTCACTGCCACCTCAAAAAATGTACTTCATTCATGCAGCCAGGATGGTGAAATAACAAAAATTTCACATGCATCCTTCAGGTATCTATCCATAGTATAAATTTCAAGAGGTGTCATTGTTGGGTTAAATAGGCATTTGGGCAGGGAAACTCTGGAGGTAACTGCAATGGTCAAGGCCCATGTCTGAATGTTTCCCCTATTGTTCTTTCACTACATAGGAGCTGAGAGCGTCCTTAGAAGAGCAGCATGCTCAGAGCAGCCGCCTACGGGTTGCACTGAAACATGAGCAGGCAACGAAGGACAACCTGCAGCAGGAGCTGCAGATCGAATGCTCACGGTGCGAGGTGCTGTTGGCGCAGGAGCGGAACCAGCTCTCTGAAGTCCAGAAGAGCCTGGAGGCTGAGAAGAGCCGCTCACTAGAGCTGTCTGCAGCCTTGCAGCATGAGAGACTTCTGACAGAGCAGCTGAGCCGCAGGGCACGGGAGCCCTGTGCTGCTCAGGAAGCACGGGTGCATCATTCCTTGCTGCGGAAGCTGAAGGAAGAGAAGTCCCGTGGGGCAGAGTTGCAAGCAATGCTGGAAAAGGTGCAGCATCAGGCTGTGCGCTCACAGCGCCAGCTTGAGGCCGAGAGTCAGCGGCGCTGTGAAGAGCTGAGAAGAGAGAAGGAGGTGAGTGCTGCGTTGCAGTCTACTGTGGATGCCCTGCAGACCCAGAGACGAAAGCCAAGGTGCTGTCTACAGAGCGAGAGGGAGAAGCCAGCTTGGGGACAGGCAGAAATAGAGCAGTTACACACACGATGGGAAGAGCATAAAGGATACAAGGACACAAGGTGGAGAATGGAGACCAGGCAACGCCGAGTGGGTACAGAGAAGAGGAAGGAGTGGCAGAGAGACAAGGAGAGGCTGGTGAGGCACCTGATGACAGTCAGCTCTTAGGAATGGTCCAATACGCTCATGGCAACGCATGTGGGGTGGGCCAAGGCTTAGTTTTGGGCTCTGCTCTGTCCTATGGGTCTATGTGTCTGTCCTATGCCAGTACCACCACATGTAGATTATTGTAGGTTTGTACCAGTTCTGAAATCAGGAAATGTGATTAGTCCGATGTTCTTTTTCAAAATTATTTTGGCTATTTGGGGCTCCTTGTAATTTCATATGAATTTGAAGATTGGCATTTTCATGTGTTTAAGAAAAGGCATTGGGGGGACCAGCAGTTAGCGTAATGGCTATGTAGCTGGACTCCCATGTAGTTGACCGCGGTTCGTGTCCCGGACCTGGTGGCTTAAAACTCACACCGGGCACGTGTGCGTGCGTGCCCAAGGTCCCAGGAGAATAGAGGAGAAGGGATTGCGGCATGACCATCCCCCCCTGGGGGGTGATTTCTCACTTTCTGTCTTTCTGTCTGTCTGTCTCTGTCTGAATGGCGAGCGCATGCGCCCTATAGCAAAACCTCTCCAAAAAAAGAAGAAGAAGAAGAAGAAGAAGAAGAAGAAAAGGCATTGGGATTTCAATAGAGATTGCATTGAATCTGATAATTGCTTTGAGTAGAATTGACATCAACAATCTTTTTTTTTTTAGAAGAGATTTTTGCTGTTGGGTGTGTTATCTCACCAGAGAGACAGAAAACAAGAATTCGACCCCCAGGGAGAATGGCCATGCTGCAGTCCCTTCTCTTCCTTTCTCTTCACAATTTTGGAAATGCACACACATGTGCCCACCATGAGTTCTTTTTTTAAAAAAAATTACTTGTTTTAATTGTTTATTATTTTAATTTGACCAGAGAGAGAGAGAGAGAGACAAAGGCTGAGGGGGAGGGATATGAGAAAGCAAACTGCCAGGTCCAGGACTTAAACCTTAGTCAGCCGTGTGAGAGTCTAGTGCCTTACCCACCACATCACCTGCCAGCCCCAACCCAGCATTTTAAGCTTTTAAACCCAGAGTTTGTTTTTGCTTTTTAAAGAATTATTTTATTTAACTTTATTTATATACTTATTTATTTTAATTTGACCAGAGAAGCACAGAGAGAGAGAGAGGGAAGATGAGAAAGCAAGCTGCCAGGTCCAGGACTTGAACTGCGGTCTGCCATTTGGGAGTCCAGCAGCCTTAACCACCATACCACCTGCTCGCCCCACACGCCACCAGAAGTTTTTTTGTTTTTGTTTTGTTTTGTTTTAAGAGAATTATTTAACTTTATTTATTTTATTTATTTTAATTTGACCAGGCAGGGACAGAAAGAGAGGCAGGGATTGTGAGAAAGCAATCAGCCAGGTCTGGGACTTGAACCATGGTCAACCATGTGGGAGTTCAGCACCCTTATCTTCCATGCCACCTGCTGTCCCCACCTAAAGCCAGAGTTTTAAGCTGCCGGGCTCTGGACTCAAACTGCGATTAACTATGTGGGAGTCTAGCAACATAACCATTCATACTACCTGCTGATTCCAAATTTTATTTTCTCATTTTTTTCACATTTAATGACTATACCTCTCCATGGCATACAGAATGAATCTTCCCAGAGCAAATATCTGAATATCAGTCTAGTCAAAGATACCACAATACATGTTATCGTCAACAGATAATTTTCCATTTTTGTGTCCGTTAAATGTTTTGCTGTTTTTGTTTTCCCTGATTCCCCCCCTCCTACCCCAACATCAACAATCTTAAGTCGTCTCTCTTTATTGAGATCTCTAATTTCTTTCAACAGTATTTTATAGCTTTAGTGTGTAGCATTGCAGTTGATTTTCATGTCTTGATCTTAAATCCTACAGCCGTGCCAGGCTTGTTTATTATTGGGTTGTTGGGAAAGTCATGACACGTTTTGACATAGAAAACTAGAAAAATACATCATGACATTCTCGATGACCTAATAGTTCCAATGTTTTTAATGGGAGCTTCCATGTAAAAGAGTTCTAGAATTCTCCACAGGTAAGGTTATGTTATCTGCTCATAGATAGGGTTTTACTTCTTTGAATCTGGGTGTCCTTTATCTCCTCTTCTTATGCTGTTACTCTGGCTGCTACTTACAGTGCAATGTTGACTAGAAATAGTGAGGGCAGATACCCTCACCCTGGCCTGATCTTAGTATCCTTCAGGTTTTCACTGTCAAGTGTCGTATTAGTGGGGATTTTTGGAGATGTCCTTAATCAGAGGTAATTTTTGCTTTCCTTATTTATTTAAGTTTTTTTTTGTTAATCATGAAATAGCATTAAATTTTGTCAATTTTATTAAATATAGAGAGCTGGGATTTTTGTTTTCCTATTCTATTGACATAAAGTTTTATAACCAGCAGGGGTATCTGAGCCCACATCTGCCAATAACTTCCAGTCTTGTTGGCATTTGCCCTACTGCTACAGTGTGGTATTGGCCTGAACTCTAGGTTTCTGAATGTTGCAAGGATAAATTAGGTTCCAAAATGTTACGTTATTTCTGTAAGTTTATTTAAGGAATGTGGGGGCCGCAAATGGTGTAACAGTTATGGTGCTGGACTCCCACGTAGTCGACCATGGTTCAAGTCCCAGGTCTGGCAGATTAAACTTACGCCAGGTGCATATGTATGCATGCCCAAGATCCCAAGAGGAGTATAGAGGAGGAGGGATTGTGACATGGCCATCCCCTTTGGGGCGGTGATTTCTCACTTTTTGTCTCGATGTCTCTCTTCAGTCTTTGGTGAGAGCACACACCCTATAACAAAAACCTCTCTTAAGAAATAATAAATAATTAAATAAATTATGTATAGCGAGATTTTTGCTGTTGGTTGCGTGCACTCGCTGGAGAGACAGAGATGGAAAGAGAAAGCGAGAAATCACCCCCCAGGGGGGATGACCACACCATAATCCCTTCTCCTCCATTCTCCTCTAGGGATTTTGGGTATGCACACATATGTGCCTGGCCTAAATTTTAAGCCACTGAGACCGGGACTCAAACCACGGTCAACTATGTGGGAGTCCAGTGACATAACTACTATGCCATCTGCTGGTCCCGATCTGCCTCTTTTGGATACTTAATGGAAGTGGCATCTTTCCATATGGAACTTTTTGCCACTGGCTTCACTTGGTTAGCATGGTGTTTTCAGAGTTCGTCTATACTGTATTGGGTGTCAGTAATAATATATTTTATTTTTTTAAAACTTTCAAAATAGTTTTAATGTTTTACACCAGAAGTCTCAGAAAGTGGGGGAATGGTTTGGAAGTGTAGATAATGGCAGGAGAATTGTCCTGACTTGCTTAGTAAAGCCAGTGAGTGGAACCTTGGGTGGGCCTTGGGAATGCACATCCCCTACTCTGTTCAAGATCTTGTATGGGATTCTTTTGCCTTTTTCCCCCTAGGAAGAGAGTTTCTGGCTTTCTTGTGATTTTCAATAGAGTCTTTCCCTTTTGAGAACTTTCTGAAACTATGTCTAAAATTTCCAACCTAACACTTTCATTTAATTTTGACTTTTTTTAAAAGTGACTGGTAACATGATTAAAAATAATACGGGAGCCAGCTGTGGTACAGTGATAAGGTAGCACTTATGACTCTGAACCAACATGGGAGGTCTAGGTTCTGTCCCAAGGTCCCTCGGTACATGCTGGGCACGTGCACACACAGCTCTCACCTTGGCTGCCTGAGGATGGGCTTGGGTTAGGGCGTGAAGACTCTGCTGGTAGTGCTCTTTCTTTCTCTATCATGAAGAAAAGAAAGAAACTTTAAAAACTACAAAATAAATGTTTTCTAAATTAATACTGTTCTCCATATTGCGCCTTGATATATATTTTTAAGTGATTTGGCGCTTTTAGAGTTACCTTCACTGTAGATAGGTAGTTTGACCTGGATTTTTAAATTATTTCCTAGCCATAGCTACTGGAGCCTTTCCAGATAGTAATGTCAGGACCTGTTTAATCTTTTCTAAGCAATATGAACTGACTCTTACTCTGACTCTTGTTCTTTTAATGTGGAAAATAGATGACATAGTCATCTCTGCTTGCCCAGAGGCCCAGATATTACATGAGATGATGTCCAGGCATCATCTGAACTGCCCCTGGTCATCCATGAGGAGGCATATGCTTTAGTGGCCTGGATCTACCTATATGGGGCTGCAGAGCTGGGGGCTGCTCTCCTGTAGCCTCCTTCAAGCTTAGGCTCACTTTATGGGCTCTGAGGTTCACTGCCAACATAGGGGACCTTGTCCATATGTTTTAGTCTCAGGCCTCCTTGCCCATCCCAGGTGTCCTCCTGAGGCTTCCTTGTCTCTCCCTGCTCTAAAGCAGGAGCTCAGGCAAGTCATTCATCTCTTCCACTTACCGGACAGGCACCCTCTTCTAGAGCAGTAGACCCCCAACAAGTGGGAGTGGGCAGTGAGGCCTTGTGAGGCCCAGTGAAGCCGGGTGAAGCTCAACTCAGGCCAAAGGGCTCAGGTACAGGATAGGTTCCAGCTGCCTCACTTGTGTAAGCATGCAGGTGTACATGTGTCTGTGCACACTTGTGTATATCATGAGGCTGTCTGGGCCCCCTCCTACCTGTCTGGGCATCACAGGCTCCTGTCCTCTTGGGCCTGGGGTGGGTGGGGAGGTCCGTACTATGGATTCTAGCTCAGCTGGCTCTGAGCCAAGGCTCTGTTGGCCCCCTTCACCTGTGTACCTTGACTAGGGTGTCTGGTGGCTGAGCCAAGGCTCCCGGCGAAGCCCATATGTGAGAGAGTTGCCACCCATCCCAGGTTTCTGTTTCGTGCCACAGGGGCTTCCCTCCTACATAGCTATGTTTTTGGTCTTTTGCTTGACAGTTTGTCTCTGGGAAAGTTACAGAAAGGTGTTTTCTGTGTTGTTTGCATCAATGACAGCGAGAACTTGAACTCCAGCACCAGCGTGATGAGCACAAGATCGAGCAGCTCCAGCAGATGGTGAGGGAGCTGCAAGCCAGAGAGGAGGGATTCCGTGGCAGCCTCAGCTTTCACCCGGGTCCTGACCATGGCCCTGATGGTCCTGAGATGGAACGTCTGCACAAGCAGCAAGAGGATCTGGAGCGGATCAGGCGGCAGCTGCTCTGTGCAGCTGGGCTCCTGGCTGGCTTCACACAGCAGCCCACAGGCAGGTAGGCAGCATCCCAGGACTCCCTGCACAGTGCAGCCACTCACCTATGATTAGGAAAGACTCTGAAGTTGAGGGCACATCTTTGATTCTGAAATCATGTTTTAGTGAACTTATACAATATTTCTTTTCCCTTGAATTTGAGTAAATTAATTGGAAGGACTCTCCAGAAAGATACTAACAAGGTCTTTTTCGATTTTAACTTGCCAGAGAGCGCATGTGCCATGGGAGAGGGGGTTTCCCTTATGAGACATGATGAGATGTGGTCATGCTGCAATCCCTCTCTTCCATTTCTCCTTCCTTTTGGGATTTTGGGCATACACATGCACATACCTCCTGGCATGTTTCTCAAGCCACCAACTTCGGGACGGGAACTATACTGTTGACCATGTGGAATCTAGCCACCTTAACCACCATTCCACAGTCTGACCCAAAATTATATTTTCACTACGTAATATTAGAAAAAAAATCTAGTGATTCCAAATACACCTGACCTTAGGCTTCCAAGTTTCTTTTAAATTGGTTCTCTTCATACCCGATGAAGTTGTCCACCACCTGGAGGGTCTGGCACACTCTCCCTACCCTGCCCTGCTAGACCCATTGAGATTGAGATGCTAGTTGCTGTGTCTTTGTCATCTTGGAGGCTCTGGGGCCTCCAGGCACACAACCCTATGCAGATTTATGCTGGTAAGGAGTTGATGTCATCATACTTTTTGTATTAACAGAAAAATAATGTTAATATTTGCCTTTTTCCTGTTCACAGAAATTTAGCTAATATAATTCCCTTATCTATACTTGGGTTTATAATGCAACATGGTTTCTAAACGAAGTTTCATGTAGGACAGTATTTTTTTGTTTATGATTTTTCTGTTTTGCTAGAGGGCATGTATGTTCGCCAGAGAGAGAAGGAGGAGAAAGCATCCACCACAGGGCATAGTCACGCCACAATCCTTCTCTCTCATTTCTCCATCCTGTTAGGATTTTGGGCATGTGTGCACACGCAACTGGCACGTTTTCCATACTGCCAGGATTCAAACCACATGTCAAACCATACAGGACTAGGCTCCCTTAACCACTAGACAGGAAGCTGGCCCAGGTCAGCTTTGTTAGTGAATGACATGGAATTCTAAGAGAAAGCAGCAACAGGTGGTATTGAGGTAGTTGAGAACCAGCTGTGCTCAGGTGAGTGGCTGGAGGTTTCTGAGTTCTACAGAATCCTCCACCCTAGGTCCTGCCACCCACCATAGGGCTGCCCTGCCTCACTGCCATGCTCAAAAGAGGGATTTTCAGCCCCCACTTTTATGGACAAAATGTGGCTTGATGAAGTGGTTCACCGATACACACAGGTGACCCTGAGAATCCTTGTGGGCCCCCTCAATGAAGCCACCCTCTGCTCCTTTCTGAGGGGATGCTACATGGACCCATTATGTTTGTCTCTCTTGGTCAAAAAGACCTTGGATAGATTTGGATGGTAGTCATTAGGGAACATGTGAATCTTTCAAATGCCCCCTTTGTTTTTATAGGACTGTTAGTGATTGGACATCATCCAATGAGAAAACTGTGGCATCCTTACTGCGTACCTTAGAGGACCTGAAGGCTGAGTTGAGCACGTCCGCCTCCTCCCAGGTGAGGAGTGAGCCCTCCATACTGTGCCCTGTGTGTTGTCAGGTGGCACCTCTCCCGAAGGGGATGTCTTAGCAGCCTTGTGGTTTCTTTTTTGTTGTTAGTTGGCTGTTCTTCCCTCCCTTGCTGTCTTCTCTGACTCCAAGTTTGCTATCTGGGTGAGCAAGTAGGCACCATGCAGTGATACATACATGCTCTGTGTCCTGGCACACACTGTGTCATCTTAGGGTTCAGGCATGCTGGCCACAGGGCACTGCTGATGCCTCAACTTCCCTCATGCCTTGCTCACTATGCATCGCCTTGAAACCCCTCAGGTCTCTGGCGGGAGGGCCTGGCTCCCGTCTGCTCTGAGGGTCGTGTCCCTGGTGTTTCAGAGCTTCCTGAGAAACTGTCCTTGGCCCAGCTAGGCATTACCTTAGAGCCTCAGTTGTAAGTGGAAACCAGGTCCACCTGCTAAGCTTGAGCTCCATTTCAGTCACCTCTGTGGTGTAGAAGTCCTGGCTGCTGATCTGAATTCTGGATAACTGTCCTGTACAATGAAGTCATAACATTTACTAGGGAAGCAACCTGCATGTTCAAGGGCAGGACAGCTGGCTACTTGCCCTCTGACCCCACTGGCTGAATGTCACGAGTTGATCTCATTCCTCTTGTGTTGAGGACTGGCAGGCTCGTGGCATCCACACCCTTTGTAGGCTGGACATTCTTCTGACTATGGAAACAACAGACCAGTTATAAGGTCTTACATGTTTAGTTTCTCAGGATAAACAAACGAAATTCTATGGTCACTTCTTAACGTGCTATTTCTATTTATGGTACTTCTACAAGAACCAAAAATACTTAGTTTTGTAACAGGCCTGCACTGTACATATAGGTCAGCTGTGTGCAAAGTCTGTTTTACAGAGTATTAAAAAGAAACTGAGCTGATTTTTTTCATTATATTCTGTCCCATAGATGAATAGTTCCACCCAGTCACATAAGCTTCCCATTGAGCCCCAAACACGTGCAAATTTATAATCCCTGGAAATAACTGACAAAAAAGAAAACACAAGTAATATTTATCTATTTATGTATTTATGTATTTATTTATTTTAGAAAGAGATGTTTACTATAGGGCACATACGCTTGCTGGAGAGAGAGAGAGAGAAAGAAAGTGAGCAATCACGCTCCAGAAGGGATGGACAAGTCACAATCCCTTCTCCTCCTCTCCTCCATTTTCCTCTCGAGATTTTGGACACGCACATACATGTGCCTGGCATGAGTTTTAAGCTGCCAGGTCCAGGACTCAAATTGCAGTTGACTATGTGGGAATCCAGCAATGTGATCATTACATCTGCTGGTCTCAATATGCATGCTATAGGGTGCATGTGATCGCCAGGAAGACAGAGACAGGGAGACAGAAAGCAAGAAATCATCCTCCAGGGGGGATGGCCACACCGCAATCCCTTCTCTTCCATTCTCCTCTCAGGATCTTGGGCACGCACACACATGCGCCTGGCGTGAGTTTAAGCCACCAGGTCCGGGACTCGAATCACGGTCGACTACATGGGAGTCCAGCAACAGCCATTACGCTAACTGCTGGTCCCACAATATGCATCTTTTTTAACAAAGAAATTTATATAATTATTTTTGTTTTCTCCTTTTCAAGAAGAAAGCAGCAGCAGAAGTACAAATCCAGCTCTTGGACGTCTTGGCAAAGGACAACAGTTCTCTCACAAAAGCCCTCAGTGCAGCAACACGGGAGAAGGCGGTGTTGTGTAAGGCAGTGTCTAAGCTTGAAAAGACCCTGAAGCACCACCTGCAGAAGGGCTGCACCCTGAACGTGAGTACATGCACCTTCACCTTCTCCTCGGGGGTGGTTCCAGCACCTGTGGATCCACCTCTGTGGCTTTCTCCTCTCTAGTTTGACATTTTACTGAATGTCCCCAAAGGATTTACATAACTTTTTAGTGAATTTTCTACTCAGTGGAAATAGGAAGCTTGATTTTCTTCTTTCCTACTTGAATGCTTTGTTTTTTATGTGGGTTTATTTATTTATATGTGGGGGTTTTTTTTGAAGCATAATATTGCCATAGAGACTGGAGACAGACAGATATCAAACTGATAATGGTCAGGTAATGGCCAAGGTGATGTAGATGCATTTAACAAATAGGGATGACTTTTATTAAGAGGAACTGATTTGAGAACTGAAGGATAAGTAGGACTGAGCTAGAGACTTGGGGCAGGAAGGTTTGAGAGACACAGGATTCCAGAAAGAAATACTATATAAAGATCCTGGTATATAGCACAAGCGAGAAAGAGAGAGGCGTGAACAGCAAGGTAGAGAAAGTGCTGAGTAGGGAAGAATATCAGGTGGGAGGGTGGAAAGGAAGGAGGCAGAACTCAGCAGGGACTTGAAGGGCATTAGAATTCACTGAGGACTTTTAAGCAGGGATCTAATGTGGTTAGATTTGTGATTAGCTAGAATATTCTAGGTATTGAGTAAGAACTAGCAAAGTCATGAATTTGGGAGAATAAGTCTAGGCCCAACATAGTAGGGGACCTAGATTTAGATGATTACCACCGAGTTAGAAGGAATTGAAAGGATTCGAATGATGTGGAGTTGAGAGAATTTGATTGCACTTCATTTATCAAGTCATTTATTTATTTATTATAAGATGAAAAGCACGTACTATTGGGAACCAGCAGTTAGCGTAATGACTATGTCGCTGGACTCCCATGTAGTCGACTGCGGTTCGCGTCCTGGACCTGGTGGCTTAAAACTCACGCTGGGTGCGTGTGCGTGCGTGCCCAAGATCCCGAGAGGAGAATGGAGGAGAAGGGATTGCGGCGTGGCCATCCCCCCTGGAGGATGATTTCTCGCTTTCTGTCTCTATGACTTTCTCTGTCTGTCTGGCTAGCGCATGCGCCCTATAGCGAAAACCTCTCCAAAAAAAAAAGCATGTACTATGCACCAAGCAAGATGCTAGCATTGTGTCTGGAATAGAGCGGAAAAGAGCACGAACCTAAGCTAAGCTTATGTTCTAGATAGAGAAGGAAGCAATAAACAGACAAATACTGGGTTGTCGGGAAAGCTATGATACATTTTTGCATAGAAAAATATGTCATAATTTTCCCAACAACCTAAAAAGTAAAAAAAACACAGAGGCTGGCCTAGTGGTCAAGAGAACTGGAATCCCACATGACTGACCATATGGTTCAAGTACTTGGCCCAGGCAGCTTCTGAATGCCTTATTCTTATTCACACATGCACACATACCATGATCCCAACCACGACATAATGTTTAATACATGTTCATAAAATGAAACTTTGAGGTCCAGTCTGGTGGTGCAGTTGGTGGTAGAATGAATTGCAGTGCCAGAGACTATGTGGCTGACAGAGGGTTTGGATTTCTGGGTTGCTCAAAAGCAAGCTGGGTGTGTGCATGGGTACCTAGAATCCTGGGGAGCTAAAGTGCTAAGGAAGGGAGTTTGTGGTGTGATGAGACCCTCTCAAGTTTGCCCCCTCTTACCTTTCTCTTTCTTGTGCATGCTCATGGTCTCTCTCATGAATAAAATGAGCTTTTAAAAAGAAAAAGGAAACTTACAATAATCTGTCCAAATCAATTTTAGTTTAAAATTTTGCCATAGGGCTTGTGTACTCGCCAGGGAGACACAGAAAGAAAGAAGGAAAATGATGTTAATTTTCCTCTCAAGATTTGGGCATGCATGCATACACTAAGTGTGATTTTTAAAGCCTTAAGGTCCAGGACTTGAACCACACAGCTGACTATGTGGGATCCAGCTGCCTTAACCACCACACACCCTGGTTTACACTATAGTGGTTTGATGTCCACGTACCTAATGACTAAAGATAATGGGGATCTTTCATGTGTTTTTCTGCCCTCTGTGTATCTTTTATGATTAAGCACCTGTTGAAATCTTTTGCCCCTTTTTGAATTGGAGTGTTTGCTTTCTTATTGTTGAGTTTTGAGGGGTTTTAATACATTCTAGATATACTACTTTGTCAGAGAAGTGATTTGCAAATCTTTTTTCCTAGCCCATGCTTGTCCCTTCCTTCCTTTGTAAAACAAACTTTCTAATTTTGATGAAGTCTGGTGTAGCAGTTTTTTTCTTTTATGAATCATGCCAAGAATTTTGTAGTTTCACTTTTTTCTTTTAAATTTTGCTATAAGATATGTGCACTCTCCAGCGGCAAAAGGAGACACAGAAAGCATTCCTCAGAGAGGATGACCACACTGCAGTCCCTTCTCCATTCTCCTCTTAGGATTTTGGGCATACACAAGCACCTGGTGCATTTTTCTTTTTTAAAAAGAGATTTTTGCGGGAACCAGCAGTTAGCGTAATGGCTATGTCTCTGGACTCCCACGTAGTCGACCGCGGTTCGCGTCCCGGACCTGGTGGCTTAAAACTCACACTGGGCGCGTGTGCGTGAGTGCCCAAGATCCCGAGAAGAGAATGGAGGAGAAGGGATTGCGGCGTGACCATCGCCTCTGGGGGGTGATTTCTCGCTTTCTGTCTCTATGTCTCTCTCTGTCTGTCTGGCGAGCGCACGCGCCCTACAGCAAAAACCTCTCAAAAAAAAAAAAGATTTTTGCTATAGGACACATGAGTTCGCCAAAGAGACAGAGGGACAGAAAGCAAGAAATCACCCTGCACAGGGGATGACCATGCAGCAATCTCTTCTCCTTCATTCTCCTCTTGGCATTTTGGGCACACCCTGATATGCTCCTGGCGTGAGTTTTAAGTTTCTAGGCCCCGAGCTTGAACCACGGACAACTACATGGGAGTCCAGCCATCTGCTGGTCCTGCACCCGGTGCATATTTCAAGTCACCAGGGCTTCAACGACTCTGTCAGCCATGTAGATGACCACATTTCTTCTCCATTCTCCTGTTAGGATTTTGGGCATATACACGCACCTGGTGCCTTTTTTTCTTTTTTCTATTTAAAAATTATTTATTTATTTATTTGCTGTCATTCACCGTACGTCAATACAGTATACAAAATGAGATTTTCCATACATTGTAAATTGGCTCAATCAAGGATATTATCATACATGTTACCATCAACAAATAATTTTCTATTTCTTGTTTCTTAAATATTTCACTCCCCCCCCCGCCCCCCGGCACCTTTGATTCCCTACCTCTCACCCTCTGCCAACTCTCCCCTTTCCACACTGTTTCTAATATATACAGTTGTTTTCCATGCCATTTTTTTCACATTTTATTGATTCACTGAAGATCTTAATTAATTTAAAGACTTTCAATTGAAAGCATAACTGACATATACATTTTTAAGAACGCATGTCTGACTTCAAGCATAAACCTCAATGAGTAAAGTGAACATACTATAAAGTAGCACGTTGCTGGGGCTATATAGCTTACTGCAGACATTAAATAGGTATTAATAGATATTTTTAATGCATTTTTTTTATTTCAAAAAAAGTTTTAGTAGATCAACATCAAAAAATGTTAAGAGAAATTTGCTTAAAGCCAGGGAAAAGGTTAGGATTCAGTTTGAACAGTAGGCTGATGAACCTATCAGCAGTTCAAGAGAAGACAAAAATCCTTAAGTATGAAATCAAAGCATCGAAGAAAATCAGTCATGTCTTAGTCTAAAGTAAAAAAATTCTATTTCACTAATTCAAACTCACATAATTACTCTCCCTTCTGTTGAATTTGCAGTGTTACTGTGGTCTCATCTTTCTATTTAAACTCTGGAAGTTAACATTCAGCTCCAGACTTGACCCTACCATTAGGTTGGCTATTCTCTTGGTTGTTTCTTGTACTCTTAGTTCTGTGTGTACGACTTTAGTTTTCCTGGTATAGCACTCCCTTCAGCTCTTTTTGGAGAGCTGGTCTGGTATTGGTAAATTCTTACAGGTTTTTTTTATCTGAGAATGTTTTTGTCTTTTTTTTTTCCTATATGAAAGGTAGTCTTGCTGGGAATAGTATTCCTGGTTGAAATTATTTTTCACTTAACACTATGAATATATTTTCCTGTTCTTTTCTTGTTCACATTGTTTCCAACAAGAAGTCCACTGTTAGCCTGATGGGATATCCTTTGTAGGTAACTTGATGTTTCTCTCTTGCCAATCTTAGTATCTTGTCTTGAGGTGAAGAGACTAACAAATGCACTGATAATTGATTCCATGAAATCTTGGAAGAAAACTTTCCAAACGTAGAGGCAAAGATCCAGACCCAAGAAATATGAAGGACCCCGGGATGCAAACCACCGTTCATTACATGGGAGTCCAGCAACATAGCCATTACGCTAACTGCTGGTTCCCAAGAGGTCTGACATTAGTCTTATCGAATATCCTTTGAAAGTAACTTGACATTTCTCTCTTGCCAATTTTAGTATCTTTTCTCCATGGTTTTGGTCAATCTGGCTATGACATGCCTTGGGGGAAGATCTTGGGTCGATTCTATGTGGGGTCCTTTGTATTTCTTGGGTCTGGGGTCCTTTGTATTTCTTGGGTCTGAATATTTGAGTGCTTATCTAGGTTTGGAAAGTTTTCTTTCAGGATTTCATGGAATAGATTATCAATACCCTTATTAGTTTCTTCACCCTCTGGGAAACCAATGATCTAGATGTTTGAGCGTTTAATGGTGTCTAGTATTACTCATATGTTAGTCTCATTTTTTGAGGTTGTTTTGTCAGTCTTTTTGGTGAATTTTTCTAGGTCAGTGTTTCTGTCTTCTACATCTGAGATTCGATCTTCTGCATGATCTAATCCGCTTTTGATATTTTCAGTGGAAGTTTTGATTTCCTGTATTTATAGCCTTCATCTCTAATAATTCTGTTTGATTCTTTTTTAT